TTTAACCAGGCCAATCTTTTTCCCTGACAGCTTGTCTTTCTATACATGGGGATCACCTGTTCCTCAATATTTAGCAATTCCTTTTTAAAGCATATCCAGCCTTCCTGGACTTCTTTCCCCTTCAGGACTGTCTCCCAGGGGACTCTGGCAATCAATCTCCTGAACAGGCTAAAGTCTGCCTGCTGGAAGTCCAAGGTGGAAGTTCTCTAGTGGCCCTCCTTACTTCACCCACTATTGAAAACTCTAACATTTCGTGGTCACTATACCCAAGATACCACTGACCATCACATCACCCACTATTCCCTCTCTGTTCACAAACAACAGGTCTAGCAGGGCATCTCCTCTAGTTGGCACATTTACCAGTTGTGTTAGGAAGTTCTTTTCCATACCCTCTAGGAACCTCCTAGACTGCTTCCTCTCTGCTGCGTTGTATTTCCAGCAGATATCTGGTAAGTTGAAGTCGCCCACAAGTACAAGGGCTGGCAACCGTGAGACTTCTGACAGCCTCTTGTAGAATGCATCATCTGCCTGTTCATCCTGGTTGGGTGGTCTATAACACACTCCCACTGTAATGTCCGCCCTGCTGACCTTCCCCCTGATCTTTACCCATAGGCACTCAACCTTGTCATCTTCATCTTCATCATCATCATCATCATCATCAATTTCAGTATACAGTGTTTCCTTTAGCCTGAAATCACTAGTGTTTATTTACAAAGTGGAGGAAGGAAAACAAATTAATTAATGACCATCCTGTATAAAAAAGATTTAGGTATTGTTCATTTATTATTTTTTCATTGAGACATCTGGCAGTATCCCACACGAGTTCTACCATTCAGGATTTGACCTTAATTTTTTATTTGGAGATCTGAAGCTACAATGCAATAATGACCAAACAACGCTGACAGCAAGAACAATAATACTTCTATGTCGTTGTTAGACTCATTATCCTAGATGCTATATAAAAAGCCCTGTTCCTTTCTTCATGGAAGTGCATAAATTTAAGAAAACTCATATATTTGATTGCACTGATTTTAGTTATCCTGTATATTTTCATCATATGTAGTGAAAAATGGCAGCAGGAGGACATTTTTTGGTTTAGAGTAAGAACCAGTTTAGAAGAAACAATTCAGCTTCCTGCAGTTGAGACAAATTCAGAGTCAAAACTAAGCATTCAGTGCAGAAAATGAGAACAGAGAAAAGAGGGAGGTGGGATTATTTCCACTGGATAGAAAAAAAGGAATTTGCCCTGAGACATTAGCATGAATTACCAGGTGATACTGTATTACTGATAGTACATTTTATGCTTGTCTTTCAATTTTTTGTAACGTTTTAACCTGTTTTATTTTAAAATGGAATCTGGGAAGAATAGTCAACATCTCCGATGGTACAAAGAACCAACTCCTAGAGAAGCTCAGCTTAGTAAGGTGCTCAGAATCTGGGAAACATAGTGGCCAGGGTTCAGAAGTGTGAGCAGCTGGGATGCATACAGGCAGAATTTTCAAGCATGTATGTATGCCCAAGATACAGGTATACAATACTGTTAGACACATCTTAAATGCACAGTGCTTTTCCTGACATTTTCCTACTGTAATTTCATAGTGATTGTTGTGCTTCCTGGTCAATGAATCTATGTTCCATTATATGTGGTGGGTACATAAAATACCTCTATCATCAAACAAGAGCAAAGAAAATTAGAGTGAATATTCTCCAAGGCTAAACTTAAATGCTTTCCACTTTTCTCTTAGGATAACATACAGAAAAAATCCTCAAGATTGTTTCTTTCAAACTATTTGTTTTACAGAAAGCGCGAGAGGAACATAAACGGTTGTTTAAAGGAGGGCCTTTCAAGTTAAATCTACATCCCCAGGAGTATTTTGACATGAATCCCTATTTTAATGACAAACCTTTGCCACCCGTGAAGAAACCACCTCCAAAGAAGCCAATTGCACCAGCTTTCAAACCCAGTTCTCCTGCTAAAAAGGTTAGTTTGTCTTATAGCTACTGGAGACAAAAGATAAATATTCAGATATTTCCTGTTAAAAGCTTTGCTTGCAGTACATAAGATAGAAATAAATATTTGGGTTTGCTATTAATTTCTTATTTTTCTTGCAAAAGATCTTATCCCATTTACTCTGTTTTCAATTTACAAAACAATGAAATCTTGTTTGACCCAACAACAACTGCTAACCAGTTTCAAGTAAGCTAAAAAGCGTTTCTCTGAAATCAGCATAGTGCTGTTAACATACAATTAATTGACTACACACACCACAAAAAGATACAAAGCAGAAGGGTACACAATAAATGACAGTCAGACTAGGTTACTGTAGCAAAATGAAATGCTCTCCTATTTTGGACTCTGTTAGTCATTTGTATCATTTTTGAACCTGCTAATTATTCTCAGCCTATATAGACAAACATCTAAAAGATGATTCCTAGAAGCGTCATGGGAATGGATAGCTGGAAGGAGCAGAAAAACTCAGGTTAATCCCTCTGCTCAAGGAAAGGCTGCAGAACAAACTCAGGAGTTATCTGTTGCTTGTCCATCAGCAGACAGAAATTTGGAATCTGCTTTAGGATTTGCCAACTCTTCATTAGTTAGGAGAAAAGGAGGAAAATGATGGGAATAAATATACATGGAAGGGCATAGAGTGCATAAGAAATAAAGCCTGGAGTCAGTATGAAGGATATACAGGAACATAGTTCATGAGTTCTGGTTGCTTAGTGCCATTATTTCTTGAAATCTAAATGGATGTTTTTCCATTCTGTAAAGCATTCCATCTTGAGATGTTTTTTTGAGATGAGATACTAAATTTATGACATTTATCTTAGGCTAAACCTTAATTTCACTTTGAAATGGGTTAAAGGTGCATAAATCTCTCTCTCTCAAATGACTCCATATACGTAATACAGTAACATCCCTTAATCTGTCAGTTTTCAGCTCTTCATGTTGGAGTTCCATTGTCAGTCATTTAATACTGTGCTTTGCTAACCATGTTTTCCTATTATTATATCCTTCACCCTTGACTTATTTGACTGACATTGATTCATTTGAGGAAGATGAAGATAGCAAGGAAAATAAAACCATTCAGAAAGAGACAGCAAAAATGCTTATACACGAGTAATTGCATTGGGTGTTTGGCCTCGTAGATGAGGCAGCTGAGATCTTTCAGAATGGAAATCTGTTCAGAAATGTTAGCTGCTAGAAGGTCAGGACCTCATCTGGCTGACAATGCTGGTGCTCCTGCTCCTGGCTCCCCATCCTTCACACCATAGATGCCTTCCCCATGTATTTAAATTTTGTGTACTTCCCAAGCTACTGCATGCTTTCCCTCTCTGCTATATAAATTCTTACGGGAAAAATTGCTTTATTGTTGATTGAATTGCTTATTGCTGCACTTTTCAGGAATGCAGCCTCAGCAGACTGTGGGGTTTAGCTGTACTAGGGGATTGCAAAGAATTAATCAGGACTCTGTGTGTTTTTTAACTAAAATTTGCCACTCTTGTAGTACTACTGGACATAATGTTGCAGGAGAAGCCAATGCTGTATTCAATCCTATGTGTCAGAAAGCGTATTGATAGCAATGCCCAAGCCCTGCTGTATGTAACAATTCCTACACCAGTACTGGACATGGAGGTATACTAGTAAACCAATAATTCCCTTTTTTTCCACAACACAGCTCATTTTAGTGAGTTACATTTTTAATTTTTCTATTACATTTTAAAGATCATTTCCTCAAAATCCAGCCTTATGAAAGAACATTTAAAACTAAGAATTCATCAAAATAATGACTAAGTTTTTCCTTGAAGTTTCCACTGCAAATTGAAAGAATATTTCTTTTTTGTTTTTTTATATAATATGATGCAGTCTGCTATTCAGTATTCCTACTTGCTTTTGCATGAAAAATATTTTAATGAACTCAATTATATTGTAGATTGGCACTTCAGAAAATTTTGGTGTTTTTTTTTTTTTTTTTTTCAGTCAGGGGGCATGAAAGGAGGCACATTTGATCCTTACCCAAGCCATTCTGCTGACCCTTATGTAACTGAAAAATCTAAGGCTGTTACAACTAATAAAGAACAACAGATTTTCCATCCTCCTCCTGGACCAAAAAGCAGACCTATTACAAGCATAATAGCTTTAAATGTCACAAGGTAAGCTGCTTTGAGTTCATGCTTCATGTACGCTGTCTACCAAAAGTCATTAGCATAGCTGTTTGTTACTGTCTAAAATAATTGAATAAATGAAGGAACGAATTATTAACAAAAGGATAAGAAATGTATAAGGAATTTGGCTTTCAAAATTTATTCTTACTCTCTTCTGTAAACTCAGGTTACTTTAAAAGGCCATACGGATCATAGAGACCTTCAAAATCATTCTGTACAGATGTCAGTAAAAAATTATTATTTTTTATCCTTTTCTGACTTGATAAATGTAGAAAGACCAGGAACGTTCCTGTTAAAAACAAAATCTTGTTTTCTCTTATGTTTAGTGAATAAAATTGGCTCCCTCTGCTGGCAAACGTAGTATGAGGTAATTTAAGCCTGTGAAGCTTTTGAAACACTGGCACTCACATTGGATTCCTAACTACAAACATGTCACTGTGCAATGTTAGAAGAGATTTATAGTACACAGTGTATGTATATAAGTAGATAAGCACATAATTCTTTACTTTTTTATCTTACTAAGCTATAACCTTTATATTTAAACAAATTTATTTTCTGGGTTTGGCTCTGTTGTAATTCAAGCAGAAAATCAAGACTGTGTTCTTTAGAGTTATTTAGAGAAATCGCTTTCAAATGCAGACTTCTAAGATTGCATGCAGAACAGTTAAGCAGATTATTTTGCATACTCCATGAGTAACATGAAATATTTTAGAAATAGTTGTTTAAAATTTGAAAAACTGTCTTGGAGGAATTGGCTTCACGTTTGTGATTTGTCTTTTACATATCATATGTGAAGTCTAAGAAATACACCTCCCTTGTTGACCCATTGCTGTTCTATTTGCTTTATTTCACCATGTATCAGCATGTGCATAATCACTTTTTAAGTTGCAGGATAGTTTGAAGTTTTTATTTATACTGACAAGGCAGAACCAGAAGCCACGTATGACTCCATATTGCTTTTCGTTACTAATGGAAAGTAAGAAAGCATTGAAAGGAACTTTTTGGTACAGCAAAAAGCATGGTAACTACCAACACTGATGTAAGAAACTACAACCTCCCATCCATGCGCTAGTGTTTTTAAACTAGTAAAAGGGAAAAAGAATGTTATACTGATCTGAGTAGCCTTCTTATCAGTGTAACTGTGTCACCGTTTAAGGCTGAGCCGGCTCTTAAAACGGGCGGCAGATGCTCTCTGTTAACTCCCTCGCTCCCCCTGGGAGGGGAAAGGATGGAGGCAATGGAGACAGACTTAGGAATTTGAAATTAAAACTACTTTAATTACTAATAATGGCAATAAAAGGAAAAGTATACAAAACCAATACTGACTGTCCCGATGACGGTCAGGGATTGCAGGCCGCAGGCCGCAGCCCCCAGCAGCTGGGCAGCTGCTGCTGCCACC